TATAGCCAGTGGGATAACCACTTTACAATTTTTGGGGGGGGGGGGGGGGGGTATTCCTTAAAGAGGTGGGGTTTCAAATGTCTCCGGAAGGTGGTGAGCGACTCCGCTGTGTGTGTGTGGGGGGGGGGGGGGGGGGGGGGGTAGAAGGATTACTTTATCCTATCCCAGGTATTCCTTAAAGAGGTGGGGTTTCAAATGTCTCCGGAAGGTGGTGAGTGACTCCGCTGTGGGGGGGGGGGGGGGGGTAGAAGGATTACTTTATCCTATCCCAGGTATTCCTTAAAGAGGTGGGGTTTCAAATGTCTCCGGAAGGTGGTGAGCGACTCCGCTGTGTGTGTGGGGGGAGGGGGGGTAGAAGGATTGCTTTATCCTATCCCAGGTATTCCTTAAAGAGGTGGGGTTTCAAATGTCTCCGGAAGGTGGTGAGTGACTCCGCTGTCCTGGCGTCGTGAGGGAGCTTGTTCCACCATCTTATCACGGTATCTTTGTGCATTCAAATTGCCATCAATAGCTTACGTCTGACCATACCATAACCCCACCGCCACCATGGGGCACTCTGTTCACAACGTTGACATCAGCAAACCGCTCGCCCACACAAAGCCATACACGCTGTCTGCCATCTGCCCGGTACAGTTGAAACTGGGATTCATCCGTGAAGAGCACACTTCTCCAGCGTGCCAGTGGCCATCGAAGGTGAGCATTTGCCCACTGAAGTTGGTTACGACACCGAACTGTAGTCAGGTCAAGACCCTGGTGAGAACGATGAGCACGCAGATGAGCTTCCCTGAGACGGTTTCTGACAGTTGGTGAAGTTTGTGCAGAAATTCTTCGGTTGTGCAAACCCAGTTTCATCAGCTGTCTGGGTGGCTGGTCTCAGACGATCCCGCAGGTGAAGAAGCCGGATGTGGAGGTCCTGGGCTGGCGTGGTTACACATGGTCTGGGGAGGTCCTGGGTTGGCGTGGTTACACATGGTCTGGGGAGGTCCTGGGTTGGCGTGGTTACACGCACTCTCCAGTTGTGATGCCGGTTGGACGTACTGACAAATTCTCTAAAATGACTTTGAAGGTAGAGAAATGAACATTCAATTCTCTGGCAAAAGCTCTGGTGGACATTCCTGTAGTCAGCATGCCAATTGCAAAACGTGAGACATCTGTGGCATTGTGTGTGTGACAAAACTGCACATTTTATAGTGGCCTTTTATTTTCCCCAGCACAAGGTGCACCTGTGTAATGATCATGCTGTTTAATCAGCTTCTTGATATGCCACACCTGTCAAGTGGATGTGGGATTATCTTGGCAAATGAGAAATGCTCACTAACAGGGATGTAAACACATTTGTTCACAACATTTGAGATAAATAAGCTTTTTGTGCGTATGTAACATTTCTGGGATCTTTTATTTCAGCTCATGAAACATGGGACCAAAACTTTACATGTTGTGTTTATATTTTTGTTCAGTATACATCAAACCAAAGTCACCAGGATGTACTCTGGCTCCATGTCCCTATCTGGAACATATAGGAAATACAGTTCGGAAAGTATTCAGACCCCTTGAATTTTTCCACATTTTTTACCTCATCAATCTACACACACTACCCCATAATGACAAAGCAAAAAAATGGTTTTAGCAAATTTATAAAATAAAATAAATGGAAATATCACTTTTACATAAGTATTCAAACCCTTTACTTTGTTGAAGCACCTTTAGCTGCGATTACAGCCTTGAGTCTTCTTGGGTATGACGCTACAAGCTTGGCACACCTGTATTTGGGGAGTGTCTCCCATTCTTCTCTGCAGATCCTCTCAAGCTCTGTCAAGTTGGATGGGGAGCATCGCTGTACAGCTATTTTCAGGTCTCTCCAGAGATGTTCGATCGGGTTCAAGTCCGGGCTCTGGCTGGGCCACTCAAGGACATTCAGAGACTTGTCCTGAAGCCACTCCTGTGTTGTCTTGGCTGTGTGCTTAGGGTTGTTGTCCTGTTGGAAGGTGAACCTTCGCCCCAGTCTGAGGTCCTGAGCAGGTTATCATCAAGGATCTCTCTGTACTTTGCTACGTTCATCTTTCCCTCCATCCTGAAAAACATCCCCACAGCATGATGCTGCCACCACCATGCTTCACCGTAGGGATGGTGCCAGGTTTCCTCCAGACTTGACGCTTGGCATTCAGGCCAAAGAGTTCAATCTTGGTTTCATCAGACCAGAGAATCTTGTTTCTCATGGTCTGAGAGTTCTTTAGGTGCCTTTTGGCAAACACCAAGCGGGCTGTCATGTGCCTTTTACTGAGGAGTGGCTTCCGTCTGGCCACTCTACCATAAAGGCCTAATTGGTGGAGTGCTGCAGAGATGGTTGTCCTTCTGGAAGGTTCTCCCATCTCCACAGAGGAACTCTGGAGCTCTGTCAAAGTGACCATTGGGTTCTCCCTGACCAAGGCCCTTCTCCCCCGATTGCTCAGTTTGGCCGGGCGGCCAGCTCTAGGAAGAGTCTTGGTGGTTCCAAACTTCTTCCATTTAAGATCGATGGAGGCCACTGTGTTCTTGGGGACCTTCAATGCTGCAGAAATGTTTTGGTAACCTTCCCCAGATCTGTGCCTCGACACAATCCTGTCTCAGAGCTCTACGGACAACTCCTTCAACCTCATGGCTTGGTTTTTGCTCTGACATCCACTGTCAACTGTGGGACCTTATATAGACAGGTGTGTGCCTTTCCAAATCATGTCCAATCAATTGAATTTACCACAGGTGGACTCCAATCAAGTTGTAGAAACATCTCAAGGATGATCAATGGAAACAGGATGCACCTGAGCTCAATTTCAAGTGTCATAGCAAATGGTCTGAATACTTATGGAAATAAGGTATTTCTGTTTTTATTTTTTAATACATTTGCAAACATTTTTCGAAAAACCTGTTTTTGTGGAATGTGGAGTGTGGAAATGTGTGAAAAGTCAAGGGGTCCGAATGCACTGTATACATTCATATATACATTAGTATGGAGGAATGGTCTAATATCCCTTCCTTAACGATATTATAACCGCGATCGATAATAGACAGTACTGTGCAGCCGTCTTCATCGACCTGGCCAAGGCTTTCGACTCTGTCAACCACCGCATTCTTATTGGCAGACTAAATAGCCTTGGTTTCTCAAATGACTGCCTCGCCTGGTTCACCAACTACTTCTCAGATAGAGTTCAATGTGTCAAATCGGAGAGCCTGTTGTCTGGACCTATGGCAGTCTCTATGGGGGTGCCACAGGGTTCAATTCTTGGGCCGACTCTTTTCTCCGTGTATATCAATGATTTCGCTCTTGCTGCTGGTGACTCTCAGATCCACCTCTACGCAGACGACACCATTTTGTATACATCTGGCCCTTCATTGGACACAGTGTTAGCAAACCTCCAAACGAGCTTCAATGCCATACAACACTCCTTCAGTAGCCTCCAACTGCTCTTAAACACTAGTAAAACTAAATGCATGCTCTTCAATCGAACGCTGCTGGCACCCGCCCACCCGACTAGAATCACTACTCTCGACGGGTCTGACCTAGAGTATGTGGACAACTACAAATACCTAGGTGTCTGGTTAGACTGTAAACTCTCCTTCCAGACTCACGTTAAGAATCTCCAATCCAAAGTTAAATCTAGAATCGGCTTCCTATTTCGCAACAAAGCCTCCTTCACTCATGCTGCCAAACATGCCCTCGTAAAACGGACTATCCTACCGATCCTTGAATTCGCCGATGTCATTTACAAAATAGCTTCCAACACTCTACTCAGCAAATTGGATGTAGTCTATCACAGTGCCATCCGTTTTGTCTCCAAAGCCCCATACACTACCCACCACTGTGACCTGTACGCTCTTGTTGGCTGGTCCTCACTACATATTCGTCGCCAAACCCACTGGCTCCAGGTCATCTATAAATCACTGCTAAGCAAATCCCCGCCTTATCTTAGCTCATTGGTCACCATAGCAACACCCACCCGTAGTCTGCGCTCCAGCAGGTATATCTCACTGGTCATCCCCAAAGCCAACACCTCCTTTGGCCGCCATTCCTTCCAACAAATTGCAAAAGTCTCTGAAGCTGGAGACTCTTATCTCCCTCACTAACTTTAAGCATCAGTTGTCAGAGCACCTTACCGATCACTGCACCTGTACACAGCCCATCTGAAATTAGCCCACCCAACTACCTCATCCCCATATTGTTATTTATTTTGCTCATTTGCACCCCAGTATCTCTATTTGCACATCATCTCTTGCACATCTATCATTCCAGTGTTAATACTAATTGTAATTATTTTGCACTATAGCCTATTTATTGCCTTACCTCCATAACTTGCTACATTTGCACACACTGTATATATATTTTCTGTTGTATTTTTGACTTTATGTTTTGTTTTACCCCATATGTAACTCTGTGTTGTTGTTTTTATCGCACTGCTTTGCTCTATCTTGGCCAGGTCGCAGTTGTAAATGAGAACTTGTTCTCAACTGGCTTCTTACCTGGTTAAATAAATAAAATAAATAAATAAAAATGTTTTCCAATCTCATAAAACATTTTAGAAAAACGTTCAATGTCGTTATCCTCGCAAGGGTAAGGTGCTGGAGTACTGAAAACATGGCTGAAAACATGGCTGAAAACAGGGGTTCCAATCATTTTTGGTAGAATGGAATAAATGGAAATGTGGTTTCCATATGTTTGATGTGTTTGAAACCGTTCCATTGATTCCATTCCAGCCATTACAATGAGCCCGTCCTCCTATTGCTCCTCCTACCAGCCTCCTCTGACACAACACACACACACACACACTCACATTGTGTTGATGGCAGAAGGTGATAGCCTGTAGTATCTGGTAGATGTATCTTCTGAAGCGGCTGTAGTCTAGACCTGTTGGACTCTGTTCTAGGTCATCTAGCACAGTACGTTCTACGAACTCAAACACCAGGTACCAGCGACGTCTCCTCTTCCACACCTCCAGCAGGTTGACAAGGTTCTCATGGCGCAGTTGCTGGAGAGGGGGGGGGAACAAATAATGGATTGATTGGTTGTTTGATTGATCCTCAACTGGCAGTTTCATTAAGTAGTACCCGCAAAACACCAGTCTCAACGTCAACAGTGAAGAGGCGACTCCGGGATGCTGATCTTCTAGGCAGAGTTGCAAAGAAAAAGTCCAGTGTCTGTGTTCTTTTGCCCATCTTAATCTTTTATTTTTATTGGCCAGTCTGAGATATGGCTTTTTCTTTGCAACTCTGCCTAGGTCAGCATCCCGGAGTCGCCTCTTCACTGTTGACGTTGAGACTGGTGTTTTGCGGGTACTATTTAATGAAGCTGCCAGTTGAGGACCTGTGAGGCGTCTGTTTCTGAAACTAGACACTAATGTATTTGTCCTCTTGCTCAGTTGTGCACCGGGGCCTCCCACTCCTCTTTCTATTCTGGTTAGAGCCAGTTTGCGCTGTTCTGTGAAGGGAGTAGTACACAGCGTTGTACGAGATCTTCAGTTTCTTGGCAATTTCTCGCATGGAATAGCCTTCATTTCTCAGAACAAGAATAGACTGACGAGTTTCAGAAGAAAGTTATTTGTTTCTGGCCATTTTTATCCTATAATCGAACCCACAATTGTTGATGCTCCAGATACTCAACTAGTCTCAAGAAGGCCAGTTTTATTGCTTCTTTAATCAGCACAACAGTTTTCAACTGTGCTAACATAATTGCAAAAGGGTTTTCTAATGATCAATTAGCCTTTTTAAAATGATAAACTTGGATTAGCAAACACAACGTGCCATTGGAACACAGGACTGATGGTTGCTGATAATGGGCCTCTGTACGCCTATGTAGATATTCCATAAAAAAATCAGCCGTTTCCAGCTACAATAGCCATTTACAACATTAACAATGTCTACACTGTATTTCTGATCATTTTGATGTTATTTTAATGGACACATTTTTTTTGCTTTTCTTTCGTAAATAAGGACATTTCTAAGTGACCCCAAACTTTGGAACGGTAGTGTATATACACAGGTACATATTATCTCAATCAAAAACTTGACGTTTTAGAGTTAATTTCCTGCAATTCTACAGATTTTGCCACGGGGCGGAGAGAACATTTTGCAGTTTTAAGCAAGTTTGCTGAAATTCTACAGATTTTGCCACAGGGGATGGAGAGAAATGTTTGCAGTTTTTTAATATGATATCCGAGTGAGCGTGACTAAAACGAAATCAATGGGAGCTCCCCGGTCGGTCATTTTTCGGACATGGGCTAAAACTGCTGATACACAACCACGTTTTTCGAAAATTGCACCTCGTGTATTCTACTATTCTAACTCTCAACGGTAAGTTGAGACCCCAACTGAGTTCCTAAACCTAAACCTACAAAAGAAGGGGCCGCCAGCTGCCGATTCCTGGCATACAGTATGTTATGTGGGAATGTTGCTGTTTACACGTTGTTTAAGTCTCCCGAGTGGCGCAGTGGTCTAAGGCACTGCCTCAGCAGTGTTAGCTGTGCCACTAGAGATCCTGGTTCGAATCCAGGCTCTGTCGTAGCCGGCCGCGACCGGGAGACCCATGGGGTGGTGCACAATTGGTCCAGGGTAGGGGAGGGAATGGCCGGCAGGGGATGTAGCTCAGTTGGTAGAGCATGCACTTGCAACGCCAGGGTTGTGGGTTGGATTCCCACGGGGGGCCAGTATATAAAAAACAATAATTTATGCACTCACTAACTGTAAGTCGCTCTGCTAAATGACTAAAATGTAAAATGTTTAATGCATCTGGACATCTTATCCGACTTGCCACAAATTAAGTTCCCTCTGGGAAGAATCAAGTGATTCTGTTCTATTCTATTTTAATCTGTTCCATTTGAATATATTCTGTTTTAATCTATTCCATTTGATTATATTCTATTTTATTCTGTTCTATTTTATCCTAATCTATTAAGCTCCAACTGACCTTCAACATCTTGATCTCTCTCAAGGCGATCTTCTTGACTGTCTTATCGTCCTCCGACTCCAGAAACTTCTTAACGGCCACGATCCTCCCGTTCTCCTTGTGACGACACTTCATGACCATGCCGTAGCTTCCCTCGCCGACCATACCCAAGTTCTCATACTTCTCCATGACACACACTATAACAACACACACTAGGCAACACACACTATAACAACACACACTATAACAACACACACTCTATAACACCCACACATACTAAACATACTATAACACACACATATCTTACAACACAGACACTCACACACACACACACACACACTAGGCTACAACACACTGACAATATAACACACAAAGTCTATAATACACACTTTACAACACACACTCTATAACAGACTTACAACATAACACACACTCTAAAGAAAAAACACTAGGCTACACACACTATGACACACACACACACACACACACACACTATATATATATATAAATAACACACACACACACTCACATCAGCTGACGAATAAATAGCAGGTTGACGTTTATTGTCATGAGTCTTGTCCTGGAGGCAGAACTGAGCGATTTCCACTTAGACAGGCCAGCTGCAAAGTCAAAATGGCTATATTGTAAAAAAATTAATGTTTAGGGTTAGGTATTAGGGTTAGCAGTGTGGTTAAGGTTAGGGTTAGGTTTAAAATCCGATTTTATGATTTGGTGTCAGCTAGGTGACTACTCGGCAGAGCTGCCTCCAAAACAAGATCCGTGACGAAAAACGCTAACCTGCGAATAGATAACCAAAAAAGAGGTGACAGGTTATTAGACTAAACAACATTGTTTACCAAATACTTTTTCTGTACATTTCAACATGGTTGCATTAACGAATATCTTTCATAGCCTACAGTCCAAATGGTTGCATTAAAACAATAGGTGTTTGATTGCGCACATGCATAGCGTGTAGTAGAACTAACTTCCTGCCGTGAACCAGGATCATTTCAGGATACTCAGCTGGCCAACCCCCTGCACACGCCACCGGCCGACTTCAAAAAAACTTCAACCGGTTTGTTGACCCGATCGGTGGACTAATTGTTCGGTACAAAGACTTCCAGATCCTTATCAGATCGCTAGCACTCTTATCGATCGACGTAAACAGTGGAGTAAAACAGCGCGGACATCCGAGATGATTTACGGTCCAACGCTCCTCTGTCCGACCCCGCCGGAGAACAATGACCTGTGTCACCCAAAGCCGTTACCCGTAGCAACTGGCCTCCAGCGCTGTACACACAAAAAAAACACCGTCACTCTCTTACCCCAGCATACTGAGCTCTGAGAATGTGAAAGATGAGGTTTGGAGGAAATGTAAACTATTATGACATTACCCTTTGTGTAATTTTCAACCTTAACAAAAAAAACAATCAGACACCGGTGAACTTCTATTCTATGTTATGGTATTTTACTATATTCTACTCAGGGCCAGCTCTAGCCTTTTGGGGGGCTTTTTTTAAGTTTTAAAGTTCATCTCCTGCATTTCTACACATTTTGTAATGACCTATGCCATCTTTAATATCGTGTCTGAGTGAAAATGGCTATCAAAATCAATGGGAGCCTTCGTGCCAAATAGTGTCCACTTTACAAAAAGTGTCACAATGGGATTAGATAAACTATCTGCAAAGATCTTTATAACCAGAATAGAAAGAGGAGTGGGAGGCCCCGGTGCACAACTGAGCAAGAGTACAAATACATTAGAGTGTCTAGTTTGAGAAACAGACGCCTCACAGGTCCTCAACTGGCAGCTTCATTAAATTGTACCCGCAAAACACCAGTCTCAACGTCCACAGTGAAGAGGCGACTCCGGAATGCTGACCTTCTAGGCAGAGTTGCAAAGAAAAAGCCATATCTCAGACTGCCCATCTTAATATTTTCTTTTTATTGGCCAGTTTGAGATATGGCTTTTTCTTTGCAACTCTGCCTAGAAGGTCAGCATCCCGGAGACGCCTCTTCACTGTTGACGTTGAGACTGGTGTTTTGCAGGTACTATTTAATGAAGCTGCCAGTTGAGGACCTGTGAGGCATCTGGTTAGAGCCAGTTTGCGCTGATCTGTGAAAGGAGTAGTACACAGCGTTGTACGAGATCTTCAGATTCTTGGCAATTTCTCGCATGGAATAGCCTTCATTTCTCAGAACAAGAATAGAATGATGAGTTTCAGAAGAAAGTTATTTGTTTCTGGTGATTTTGAGCCTGTAATCGAACCCACAATTGCTGATGCTCCAGATACTCAACTAGTCTCAAGAAGACCAGTTTTATTGCTTCTTTAATCAGCACAACAGTTTTCAGCTGTGCTAACATAATTGCAAAAGGGTTTTCTAATGATCAATTAGCCTTTTAAAATGATAAACTTGGATTAGCAAACACAACGTGCCATTGGAACACAGGACTGATGGTTGCTGATAATGGGCCTCTGTACGCCTATGTAGATATTCCATTAAAAATCAGCAGTTTCCAGCTACAATAGCCATTTACAACATTAACAATGTCTACACTGTATTTCTGATCAATTAGATGTTATTTTAATGGATAAAAAATTGCTTTTCTTTCGAAAACAAGGACATTTGTAAGTGACCCCAAACATTTGAACGGTAGTGTACATATCCTTAAAAAATATATATATATATTTCCCTTTATTACTTTCCAACACCACCATCCCTTCCCTAATTGGAGTAGACTAGTGAACAACAACGCTTAGGCCTCTACTTCCAGCTTATACATACTATATACATTTTATGGACAGTATTACAGCTTCACCTGGAATGCTTTTCCAACAGTCTTGAAGGAGTTCCCACATATGCTGAGCACTTGTTGGTTGCTTTTCCTTCACTCTGCGGTCCGACTTATCCCAAACCATCTGAATTGGGTTGAGGTTGGGGGATTGTGGAGGCCAGGTCATCTGATGCAGCACTCCATCTCTCATTCTTGGTAAAACAGCCCTTACACAGCCTGGAGGTGGGTTGGGTCATTGTCCTGTTGAAAAACAAATGATAGTCCCACTAAGCCCAAACCAGATGGGATGGTGTGTCGCTGCAGAATGCTGTGGTAGCCATGCTAGTTAAGTGTGCCTTGAATTCTAAATAAATCACAGACAGTGTCAACAGCAAAGCACCCCACACCATAACACCTCCTCCTCCATGCTTTACGGTGGGAAATACACATATGGCGGTTGGAACCAAATATCTCCAATTTGGACTCCAGACCAAAGGTCAAATTTTTCTTGGCCCAAGCAAGTCTCTTCTTATTATTGGTGTCCTTTAGTAGTGGTTTCTTTGCAGCAATTTGACCATGAAGACCTGATTCACGCAGTCTCCTCATAACAGTTCATGTTGATATGTGTCTGTTACTTCAACTCTGTGAAGCATTTATTTGGGCTGCAATTTCTGAGGCTGATAACTCTAATGAACTTATCCTCTGCAGTAGAGGTAACTCTGGGTCTTCCTTTCCTGTGGCGGTCCTCATGAGAGCCAGTTTCATCATGGTGCTTGATGATTTTTGCGACTGCACTTTAAGAAACTTTAAAAGTTCTTGAAAGTTCCCTAATTGACTGACCTTCATGTCTTAAAGTAATGATGGACTGTTGTTTCTCTTTGTTATTTGAGCTGTTCTTGCCATAATATTTACATTTACATTTTAGTCATTTAGCAGACGCTCTTAACCAGAGCGACTTACAGGAGCAATTAGGGTTAAGTGCCTTGCTCAAGGGCACATCAACGTCATTTAGCAGACGCTCTTAGCCAGAGCGACTCACAAATTGGTGCGTTCACCCTATAGCCAGTGGGATAACCACTTTACAATTTGGGGGGGGGGGGGGGGGGTTAGAAGGAATACTTTAGCCTATCCCAGGTATTCCTTAAAGAGGTGGGGTTTCAAATGTCTCCGGAAGGTGGTGAGTGACTCCGCTGTCCTGGCGTCGTGAGGGAGCTTGTTCCACCATTGGGGTGCCAGAGCAGCGAACAGTTTTGACTGGGCTGAGGGGGAGCTGTGCTTCCGCAGAGGAAGGGGAGCCAGCAGGCCAGAGGTGGATGAACGCAATGTCCTCGTTTGGGTGTAGGGACTGATCAGAGCCTGAAGGTACAGGGGTGCCGTTCCCCTCACTGCTCCAAAGGCAAGCACCATGGTCTTGTAGCGGATGCGAGCTTCAATTGGAAGCCAGTGGAGTGTGCGGAGGAGGGGGGTGACGTGAGAGAACTTGGGAAGGTTGAACACCAGACGGTGTTTTACCAAATAGGGCTATCTTCTGTATACCACCCCTACCTTGTCACAACACAACTGATTTGCTCAAACGCAAGGAAAGAAATTCCACAAATTAACTTTTAACAAGGCACACCTGTTAGTTGAAATGCATTCCAGGTGACTACCTCATGAAGCTGGTTGAGAGAATGCCAAGAGAGTACAAAGCAAAGGGTGGCTATTTAAAGAATCTCAAATATAAAATATATTTTGATTTGTTTAACACTTTTTTGGTTACTACATGATTCCATATGCGTTATTTCATAGTTTTGATGTCTTCACTATTATTCTACAATGTAAAAAATAGTAAAAATAAAGAAAAACCCTGGAATGACAAGGTGTGTCCAAACTTTTGACTGGTTCTGTATATATTTTGCTAAACAGGTGGGGCTCTGTCAGACTGGTTTTAATAAGGTCTCTAGCACCCCCTGTGGTGTTGCTGTCAAACTGCACACAAAGAATATTCAATGCAACAGTGCATTCGGAAAGTATTCAGACCCCTTGACCTTTTCCACATTTTGTTACGTTACAGCCTTATTCTAAAATTGATTAAATAATAAAATGTTCCTCATTGGTCTACACACAATACCCCATAATGACAAAGTGAAAACAGGTTTTTAGAAATGTTAGCAAATTTATACAAAATAAAAACAGAAATACCTTATTTGCATAAGTATTCAGACCCTTTGCTATGAGACTCGAAATTGAGCTCAGGTGCATCCTGTTTCCATTGGTCATCCTTGAGATGTTTCTACAACTTGATTGGAGTCCACCTGTGGCAAATTCAATTGATTTGACATTATTTGGAAAGGCACACACCTGTCTATATAAGGTCTCACAGTTGACAGTGCATGTCAGAGCAAAAACCAAGCCATGAGGTCGAAGGAATTGTCCGTAGAAAATTCTGCAGCATTGAAGGTCCCAAAGAACACAGTGGCCTCCATCATTCTTAAATGGAAGAAGTTTGGAACCACCAAGACTCTTCCTAGAGCTGGCCGCCCGGCCAAACTGAGCAATCGGGGGAGAAGAGAATGGGTCAGGGAGGTGACCAAGAACCTGATGGTCACTTTGAAAGAGCTCCAGAGTTCCTCTGTGGAGATGGGAGAACCTTCCAGAAGGACAACCATCTCTGCAGCACTCCACCAATCAGGCCTTTATGGTAGAGTGGCCAGACGGAAGCCACTCCTCAGTAAAAGGCACATGACAGCCCGCTTGGAGTTTGCCAAAAGGAACTTAAAGACTCTCAGACCATGAGATACAAGATTCTCTGGTCTGATGAAACCAAGATTGAACTCTTTGGCCTGAAAGCTATGCATCACGTCTGGAGGAAACTTGGCACCATCCGTACGGTGAAGCATGGTGGTGATATTTCCATTTTTATATATATATATATATATATATATATATACATTTGTAAACATTTTTTACAAATATTTTTGCTTTGTCATTATGGGGTATTGATGAAAAAACAAAACAATTGAATCAATTTTAGAATAAGGCTGTAACGTAACAAAATGTGGAAAAAGTGAAGGTGTCTGAATACTTTCCGAATGCGCTGTATGTTTCTAAACACTTCTACATTCATGCGGATGTTACCATGATTATGGATAATCCTGAATGAATACTAAATAATGATGATTGAGAAAGTTACAGACACACACATATCACACCTCATGACATCATAACCTCTCACCATTACAATAACAGGGGAGGTTAGCATTTTATATCATACCCCCAAGACATGCTAACCTCTCACCATTACAATAACAGGGGAGGTTAGCATTTTATATCATACCCCTAAGACATGCTAACCTCTCACCATTACAATAACAGGGGAGGTTAGCTTTTATATCATACCCCTAAGACATGCTAACCTCTCACCATTAAGACATGCGAACCTCTCACCATTACATACGGGAGGTTAGGCATGTATATCATACCCCTAACATGCCTAACCTCGCACCATTACAATCACGGGGAGTTAGGCATTTTATATCATCACCCCTAAACCTGCTAACCTCTCACCCATTACAATGACAGGGGAAGGTTAGCATTTATATCCATACCCCCAACGAGACATGCTAACCTCTCACCCTTACAATAACAGGGGAGGTTATGCAGTTTATATCATACCCCTAAGACACTCAACCTCTCACCATTACAATCACTGGAGGTTATCAGTTTATATCATACATACCCCTAAAACATGCTAACCTCTCCCATTACAATAACAGGGGAGTTAGCATGTTATATCATACCCCTGTCTATATGATGAATGGTGGTTAGCTGCTGATGAACCAAAAGTCCGTTATGCTGCATCGTGTCTAAGTGTTTGTATGCATACCACCGAGGTTACAAGCATAAATGCACAAGACAACGGCGTTTTGTCTGGAGAGCAGTGTCGTCCAATTTTCATGTCTGCTCTGACCTATCTTCTTCGTGTACCCCTATTTATAACCAATGCAACAAGATGGCTCCCTCTGCTGGCCAGTTTACAATACACTTCCTGTCTATTATATGTTACATTATACTAACAACCAACATTCCATTTCGTCATGAAAAACATTTAACAAAGGCATAATCTTCAGATACGATATTCCCCCCTTTCGAGACGAAATAAACGTCTCGAAAACAAACAGAATAAGATTATGACTATTAACCATTTATCTCATTGAATATTCTTAACCTTAAACCCAAAAACATTCTCCTCTAGAGTGTACATACCTTTCTATGAAATACCTGTTTATGAAGTGTGAATACATTACTATGACCCATGAAGAAATCTCTATGGAGTGTAAATACATTACTATGACATATGAACAACTGTTTATGAAGTATGAACACATTACTATGAATTATGAATAAATATCTATGGAGTGTGAGAGCGAAAAACTGTCCAGCAGCCATCCATCCATATCAATCAAGACAGTAAAATTCTCTCACCGTCCCTCTGCCCCAGGCAACCACCGTCGGTACTCCAGATAACCTCATAACTCATGTAAATGCATTTGAAACTATGATGTAATTAAATACCCATGTAAACAAAATCCTATCCATAAATATCCACTCTCAGGCTGGTCAACCCATAGGACCTGAAAGGGAATCTCTCCCTGCGTAACCCTCTGTCCCTAACCCCATCGAAACAAACAAAAGCATCTACGATCCTCATCTGCATTCAATAACATCAAACATAATTCTACTAAAATCAATACCTAAGAATATGACCCAATTATGTATTACACATGTCTATATTTCATTGCAGACACTGGAATGTAGTCCACTACACTTCGTCTCCCTGTAATGTCCTCTTCCAATGGACTTGTTGATGATGGAATCAGCCACACCCTCCTTGTTTCCTCTCCTCCAGTCATATTGTCTTTGTTTGAGTATTCCAATCTCCACATGCTTCTCCCACATGCTTCTGGAATGACAAGAAAATAAACGACCAAACAGTATCCTTTGCAAAACAACCACTTTCAAATTAAACCTCCATTTCACCTAAGAATTTAAAAAATGATACATAAATGATGCATGAATCACATTATCCATTCCCCCCTTTGATTCATAAATCATACTAAAAATTATACTAATATTGAAAAAACAATTTGAAAAATCATCAAATAATCCAAAATGATATTTATCCCTCAGTTCCACTTGTCCATCTTTATCCAGATCAGGAACAGTCAACCCCGGCATCTGAGTGTTGTCTCCAGGCACCACTTCTCCAACCTATCTCAATCTCATAACTTTCTCAAAAGTCAGTACACACATCACACAGTGTTATCAAAACTTAAACTAGAATCTGACCCATCACTGCCCCTACTGGCCTAATTGATTTTGCAACCAAATCCTTTCAAATGCATCCCTTACAATGCATCCATAACCCCAGTGATATTATCTGAACTATCTGGACTCACAGTAATACACTAATATTTATCAATATTATCTTCCCAAATGTTACACCATACCATGAATGAAGTCCCCCCTTCTCCCTTAAACTTATTCTTCAATGATAGGCTTGAAGACTATGACACGTCGCCATGTGTCTGCTAAATGACCAAAATGTCAATGTAATGTCACCCTTTTAACCCTAGATTTAGCTGTGTCCAATGCTATCCCTCTTATAATGGTAAAACCTCATATGAAAGCTTCAACGTTGACCTGTAACAACATCCTATCCCCATAGGGTAAGAATATACTCTATCATAATTTCCCCTTATCCTCTAAAATTCCCATAGTCACATTGTCAGTCAAAAGCTAATCTTTTAACCATCAAAGTCCTGCTCTTCTTACTACCTGATATATAAAAAGTAACCTATTATTTGTCATTACTACCCTTAAGGTCATACTTATCCAAAGTTATCATCTAACATCCCAATCTGATCTTTCCATAAACATACCCCTTACCTCATATGTTTTATTAGAACAAACACAACTTTTAGCCCTCAATATTTCACCTGAATACTTCAGAGTTTGCAATTACCTGATTTTACTTTCCCTCTAACCAATGCTCATAGGGTAATCCCTTCACCCAAGAACACTTAAACCCTACTGTTCTGACAACTACATTATTTTATCGGTCAATGACTGTTGCCGATACCACAGTCATGACAAAGCATAACATTTACCCACACCCGTCAGAGGCCGCGCGACCGTCTAACACGTCTTGGGCTGGCATCCCCAACAGACATCAACCCTCAAGATTCCTCACTGATTCTTACAGAATGAGTTAATCTATCTCTAATTTCCACAACAGAGGAACGAGCAGCACTGATCAGATGCCCCCCCCCTCTGTCATCAAAATCAAAAGACCCCATACTGCAGCTTCCATGATGAATCTCTATTCTCCATTTCAGATTAATCTATATTGTTTCTATCTGCTCTATTTTAACCCCATTCGTACCATAACCTCCTGAGTCCCTCTTGCTACCTCTTTAATTTCAGAACAATTGTTGTCAGTATCCTACTCCTATATTTGCTATTGCCATAGTATCATTAATCCCTTCCAAAGTTACCCTTAAAGTAGTTGATTTAGCTGCTGTATCAACCCTAATTACTTCTAATGCAAAATTTCCCATTATCCTCTGTGTATTATCTACTGTTGGAGTGACTACTGTCCATTCAGTTCTACTCCTCCTGAACTCCCTCAATGACTGTGAAAACTTCCACAGACTTCAAATCTTCCATTATAAGCGTTACTTTATGAATTACATTGCCCTTTAACCATGAATTACATTGCCCTTTAACCAATAATTCCTAACCGAAATAAATTCTAATGCTTGCCCTAAATAAGTACTTTCTCTATAATATTATGCAACATAAGTGAACAGTCACTCCTAACCCTCTTCTAAACTATACCTCCTTTTACTCCTGGTCCTGATAACAATACTTATTCTCCATAATTATCTCTCCACATGAGAGAAACATCCCCAGCCTAAACCCTAATAAGTGTTTTCCCCTCAAATTGGTGCTGTATTGGTTCCCTTATAATCAAATGCGATATATTTATGACTTTAATACCTATCAATGTTGAAAGAGTTAAATTGCTTCTCCCTGTTGTTCTAATAAACTGAAGTGTTAATGTCCTTATTTACTCCTAGTTTTCCCATAAGACTTTGAACTCCTTCCTTGTACTTCCATCCATCCCCACTAGTGTCACTTTTTCCCCCTTTCAGTTCTACCTCTAAACTTTAAACCTCCTGATTATAACAAAATACACCTATAATGACCTTGATCTCCCTACTGGAAACTGTAAATATAGATACTCAATCACCCTCAAATCATTCAGCAACACATACTTTCTCAATGCATCTGCTCCTAACCGATTTAAACTCCTACCATCTCGTCCCACTAAACTTTAAAATGTCCTTCCTCACTGTTCTCTCTCTGTCTTACTACTAACTTTGAAACTTAGCTTACTGTCTCAGAGTCCCTTCAACCTAACCTACCCCTAACTTATTTTAATCTAATCTTTTCTCTCATAACATTTAAAACCTTTTCCCCTGACTTATTGACAACATCTCTTACCACCAAATTTCAGAATATGTGATTGGGAAAGTTCCCCACCTGCTTCTGACTCATTACACACAGACTTGGCAAAACCGACTAAACACCTTTTAGCCTAACCTCAAATCTCTTAGTGTAAGAATGTAACCCAAAATAACAGTCACCCCTATTAAGTTTTTTCCCAGACAGATTGTCTAACAGGCAATCTAATACATTATCATCCTTCCTATGATATTATCTTTTAAGCAAATGATTCCCAAAAAACCCTACTTCTTAAAATATTCTACCAGACAGTCAGTATGCCTCTGATTGAACACTTAAATTTACACCATGCATCTCTTCCCAACACTGCCATAACAGCATCTTCTAATATTAGTATGTCTCTTTTACTTCCTCTTTGACTTTTATAGCAGAGCTCAATTGATTCCCTAAGAGTAATTACACTATTTTACTACTTCCAATCCCTATCCTAACCTAATTAGTTTATTTTACAGAGTGATATGTTTAACCTTTTTAGACGGAACCCCGATAAGTTTTTCCCCTATTCACTATCACTTCTAATGGTCAGTTGTTTCAACTGTTAGCTATTTCCTCTTCTTCTCTAATCGATGCTCTCAGCAATGCACCCCTTCCGGATATTCTCGGCACTCTAGAATATTTAGTGTTCACCTGAAGCACCGGTGATCTTCACTTGCTCGTTGATCTTCCTCTGTTTCTTCTTCTCCAATTCTGTGTCTGTCCAGAAACTGACAATCGATATGGAACATCTGGTCCCCCCTTGATTGGTACAATTGCCTTTGATATTGTTCAGTTGAAGCTGTAACAGTGATTGTTGATTTGATTCACTCTGATTCTTCATAACCAACACTTATTTTCTTCTTCTCCACCACCAGTTATAAGTTGTATTTGCTTGAGTTTTCTTCGTCCGGTTCTTCTCATCGTTGACATATCAGTATTCTTCAACCTTAGTTCCAAGTTCTGTCCTCGAAATATCATCTTCCATCATCTTCTTACTAGTGGGCTCTTCTTTACCTCAATGTGTTCTTCTTCAATTCTTGGGATTAAAAATGTTCTCCGCAGGTTTTCTCCTTGTCTCTTCTATATCTTCAGCGTCTCGAGCTGTTCCTCTAGCTCCCTTACCTCTCCCAAAGTCGTCTCTTCCTCCAGGCCTGATACGCCTCGGTCTATATCTCCTATTTCTTCTTTGCCAGTCATTGTAGGATAAAATCCTCTTGAACATACAACACCTTTAATCTCCAAATCTTCATCACTTTCTTCATCAGAACTCGAATCTCTTGTCTCCTTCGTTCAACTTTCATCAGAGATCAAGTCTCCAGTATCCTTCTTTCCTCTCTTGCCACTTCCTTCTGATCAGAGTCATATCCACCCATGACCTCTCTCAATCACTCATCTTCATCCTCCTCATCTCCTTAAGTTCCCAGACATCCCATTTTCTTCAGTCTTCTGAATTCATCTTCATCGTTGTTTCTGCTCGTATTCATCTTCATCTCTGATGCCATAATCACCCTGCTAGATGATCATTGTAAGCTGAGAATAAACATCCCTAAGCTCTACTTTTTAAACCTATCTTATCGCTGACATATTTTATCAATTTTTGTTTGAGAATGAAGGGCAACTTTTGTTTCACTTGCCGGATAACCTAGCAACACTTTAATTAAAGGATTACCCCTATTTCCACCCGTGAAATGACTCTCATAGTCCTGATATCTTTTTCCCCATTGTAACACCCTTTTATATTCCTTTATTGTGAACTATCTTATTCTAGACTGTATAAGTTATATAGGCTTCCCCCCTTAAATTATTAATATAACCCTAACAACCTTCAAAAAAAATAAAAAATAAAAAAAAATTTTTTTTTTTTTTTTCCTCCTCCCAAAAAAATTTAAATAAAATAAAATATGAATATTAAAAACATTCAATTAAATGCCTTATTCAAAAACCCTTTAATTAAAAATAAAAACCCATTAAAAACTCAATTAAAAATTATGAATAATTTAAAACCAATTTTTTATTCCTATATCACCAATTTATCAATTAGTGTTGAGTATATTACCACAACCCATCAAATGCAAGTAAATGCAAGTTAGTCATCTTCAGGCTAAAATACCCCTAAACAAAGCCTTTTAACCTTCAATACTACAATACTCCAATTCCCATAACCCCTTGCTCTATTAGCTCCAATTATCATAAATTTACAGAAGAATCCTCAATCCATCCTTGATTCTCAACACATCTGTAATCAAACCCCAGTGATGCACATAGCCTCCAAAATGCAATTTTTAATTAAATAGTATTTGCCAAGCCGATGTAAAATTGTCATAACATCACATATCTGGTTAGGATGATTTTGTGTACTAGCCTGATCCGATCCTCTCCTGCATCATGTGATGTCACGTCATGTGACGTCACCCCTCCTCTCTCTCGTCTCGCCATTCCATGTTCCTCTCATATTTCAAAAAACATAGAAACACACAAGATTTCAGCAGTTTATGCAATTAATCAAGTTATCCACATTCAATGCATTATACTTCGTCAACATATATTTAATTTATAACTTTACCACATCTCGCCAAATAGTTTCCCGTTCGAACAACAACCGTTTAACACCCAAGAGATTTTTCCCCAAAATCTCTCTTATTCTGTGACTATTATCCCTTGCCGCGTCACATGGGACCTATGACCCTTACCCATAATGCCGTGCTTTGTAGGCTTAGCACATAACCACATGTTGTAGTTTTTAACCCCGTAAAATCACGCATGCGCAAATAT